ACAAAAAAAGCAGCTGGCATTCCTGCATGTCTTTGTCTAGTTTGTAACTGTACCTTTTAACTACTTATCAACTTGATTTAAAGTCAACAGATGCAATGACATCCCAATAGTTGAATTTAAAAATTTACCTGTGGATGTCCTAAATGATGAACCAGGACTTGAGTATTTGTCTTTCCTGGAAATCCAGTGGTCGCAAACAGATTTTCATTCACTCGGGACCATCTAGGATTTAAAATCACTGCAACTTTCAGATATCACCATTGGAGTTATCAGAAGAGCACAAACTTGAGCTCTCTCCCTTGTGGTCATTTGTGTGAGACCATTTGATTTTCATTAACATTTTAGAACATACTTATCAAATACTTAAATATAAAGAAATGGCTTTTTTTTAGACAATGTACCACCCTGAGTCCCATCTGCACGCTACTGAAACAGAATAAATCCATGTTAGTATTACTTATACATACTAAATGTTGGTCATGAACAAGTTTCACTAACTTCATAGAATGGGTCCCCTTGAAAGTGATTCAAATGAAACAGAACCTGGTCCAGAAACTCAAAATTGTTTGCATATAGGTATATTTATACAGAGAAAAAAACACACAAAAAAACAAACAACTCTAATACCTGAATAATCTGGCTCGATCCACGTGGACAGGTCTCTTATCTTGTGGATAACTAAAACAGATATTTTTGGTCAAAAAAACAGACAAACAGACAAACAAAAAAATCCACCCCACTGTTCTGCATACAACCACAGTTTATACCCTAAGTACTAAAGGTACATTTTTTTAAGCAGGGGGAGACAACAAATTAGTCAAAGATGCTGAGGGAAAACCAAATATTCTCATAGTTAACATCAACTGGGATTTTTTCAGTTTCTTCTTGTTCAATTATGTGTATAAAATTTAGAAGTTAGAATGAAATGACACAGATGCACAAAACTTGCAGTGAGATKTAAAGGTGTAGAGGTGCTATATTAAATGGAAAAAACAAAACAAACAAACAAAAAAAACTCCAAGCTTTTTAAAAGAGATGTGTACTGGTAGAAATAACCATGAACATGAGACATGAGGACATCAGCAAATAGCCTGTATTGGTTTCATAAATGCTGTCGAGTTTTCATTTATCTCCCAAGGAGGTGATGCAATAGTGATGCACACCATCACCTAAACAATTAATCAAGTGACCACATCTCCCCATGTAGTACTTAAGGGGAGAACGGAGAAATCTCTTCTCGTTATTCAAATACCTGGAGTGAGCAATATCCCAAATTAGCCAATCGCTTCCAGCAACTGCTCCAATTTTAAGAGTATTCTTTAAACACCAGTCTGCTGACATCAGTGGTTTCTGTTCACACTCCAGAGACAGAATTGCCTGCTGCGTTAGCAGGTCATAGAATCGTATTGTTCCATTCTTCTCTGCTACCATCAGCTGTAAGGGAAATTGAAAAGCGCAASCTCATAAAACTTTGTAACCTTCTTAGCATGTACTAAATCTTAAGAGCTATTAGCAAACTTAGTGTATTGGCAAGCAAGGATTAGTAGTTGGATTTAACATGAGTGCATTTTTTCATATTACACCAGGAAATATTGTTCTGAATGCACTTCCAACAACAGCTACGTACACGCTCACCTATATCTATATAGGTCTTTGTATATATAAATATATAAAAGCACTTTATCTACACTTTTTTATATAGTTTTGGCACCCAGAAACTCCATTTCTCAACCACAGATGTACTGCACTTTCACAATCACAAAAGTTTTCCTCTCCAAGCATAAAGAGCTGACAGAGATAGTACTGTACAAGAAAAGAAAAATACTGATTACATTAGAATCTACATTTGTCCTTACTGAGTTTGTATAGTATCTTTTGATTCATCCATATAAAATACTCAAGTAGTTTATAGAAAGAGCTTCCCGATTAAATGATGACAGAGTTTTTCTTAATGATGCTGTTAAGAATACTTAGGGAAGGCAAAAGAAATACTCTTCCAAACAACTTCCAAGTTTGTTTTGGAAAAGAAAGCTATCGCAGAAACATTCTTGTTTTCCATCTAATGGGTCTGGTACAGTAAGCATAGACCTCCAATAACCTTAAATCAGCCTGTACAGCTGTACTAGCTTTCTGGAAGGGCCTTCCTTTAAAAGAAAGCTATTCCTGCTGTTTGATTAGGGTCAAGGAAAAATAAAAAAATAAAAAAATCAAGCTAATATGTATAGACCTGTGCAATATTTCAAGATTTTTGTGTACAAGTGTAGAGTTAATCTAATAATTTTACTATGTTAACCAACTTTTCCAGTAGCAAATATTCAACTTGATGACACTTTCATCAACAGTTGTCTTAGAGAAGGCTGGATATTGGTAGGAAGCATGATAAGAAAACTGATTCTTCTTCCCTATAGAAGAATATCCAAATATTTTTATACTTTGACATGAGCATTCTGCTGTAATCTGAACAGTTATTTGTAGCTGCTAAAGGCAGTCATTCTGTGGTACAACAGAAAGAATAAATCCAAGACTGCAAGGGCTAACAAAGCTAAATACATTGGCATATACCAGCTGATTAATATTTTCCAGGACAGCAGACATAAATATCAACTCACGGTCTATTGATTTCTTTCTGGGTTTTTTTTTTTTTTTTTTTTTTTTTTTTTTTTTTTTCCCCCAGCACATATTTCTCATATTTCAAGTGAGAACAAAACAAAATCCTTGCTAACTTCAAAACAGATGCTTTTTAAAATTTGGCTTGCTTTAAAGCAAGCTGTGTTATTGGTGAGCCTTATTATCACAACCAAAAGAAAACTTGAACTTTTCTCTAATAACTGTAAATCAAGACTCTATCAGCAGACCAGTTAACAACTGATGCATATAATCAAGGAGGATATTTTTGAAGGGAAGAGCGAGGGATTAAGTGTAAAATGAAGAGGAGTAAATAGGAATTCACATCCAATGATTTCACACTAGCAGATCCAACCGTCATGCAGTTACAAGATATATTGGCTCCTTAAACTTCAGTCTTAGTGTCTCACAAAGGATCAGTTAAGAGAAATGCATCCTCATATTGTTTTCAAAGGAAAAGGAAAAAACCCTGCAAAGCTCAACCTTAAAGGCCTCCTCAGGATGCCAGCAAACACTCATTCCAGGAGAACGTAAAACAAAATGGGCCTTCTCATTTCCTTCCAAATCCCAGACCCTAAAGCAAAACAAACAAACAAAAAAAATTTAACTTTCAATGCTTCAATAAATTCAGTTTTAACACAGCAAACGACCAAATTAAATGTGGTACTTATGTTTTATCACTTCAAGAAGAAAGAACAACAGAACACTTCGAATGAAATTTGCATAACTTTCACGATAACTTATTACACCATGCAAAATTAAGGTTTCTACTATTAAAGATAATATTTTAAAACTTGTTAAACTAGGCAAAGCCTCTTTTTGAGAGGCCAATATTCAAATAATTCACACAAGTTATCTAGGCATGAAACCTAGATGACACCTACTCACTTTATTCCTAACTCAGTATTGTTGGATTTGTGCTGCACCCCAAACAATGAGACACCACAGASCGGGAAGATCAGTATTTATCTGGCTGATATAACTAAACTAGAACTAGAGTGAAGTAACAAGTAAGTTAAATCATCCACATTATCACAGAACGAATAATTAGACCACGCATGAAAGCATTTTCCTTGTCTAATGCATGAATTGTCACTTTTTTCCCTGGAAAGACAAGACTAAGGTGAAACATAAGAAGCTAAAAATGAATCTAAAGCAAACAAAAGGACCTGTGACAAAGGTACCCTAGATCACAGGAAGTCTTGACAAGCTTTCAATAAGCAAGTCACACGTCTCACTTTACCCTTTTCCTTTAGGGGAACCTACTATTAGGCAGTAAAAATAAGTAAATAAATCAACCCATAATATGGAGTAAACACTGACTGACAGTGAGTATGCTGAATGAGCAACACTAGCTCAGGTGATGCATGATTTTACTCTGGATGCTTCCCTTCCAAGCATTAATGCACAGTGAACCTGCTCCCTTTGTAAGGTGCAACAAAAACACAACTGAGGCTATTTTACCAAAAACACAACTGAGGCTATTTTAAATTTCAGCTACTCCTCAGCAGCCTCCCTTTCTACAATATCAGTAGCTCAGGCATAGAACAAGAACATCACAGCTGTGAACAGCAACCTCAACTGCAAATCTGTGTTTATATACACACACTAGTACAGAAATATACACATGTATCTTACCTCCCATACATATAAAGCCTTAGAAGAGGTCAAATTTAAGTATAACATTCTTATTAGAGTTAGCTGAGCACTATTATTGTTTATTCTAGAATAATTTTTGCTCACTTCCTCCAGACTTTTCCAGTTTATATCTCACCAGGGTGCTTATAGTTTTATATTTAAGAGATTTCAAAAAACTCTTAAATAATAAATCACAAGTCTAGACACAGTATACCAAAATAAAGTAAAAATATTTAATGAACAATGTTATCTTCTTATGCCAAACCACAACAGATCAAATATTTGTTTCCCCTGTAGAGCTCACAGGGTCTCTAATCTTGAAGRATCAGTGTCCTTATTAAAAAAAAGCAAAACAAAAAACTGACAAGTGCTTAAAAAATGAAATATCTGCTTGATTAGGTAATTTAGAAACATACAATACTTTCTTCTACTGCCAGAAATTTTGCCTTGTAGATGTGTCCAAGTCAAATCAACACTTTCCATGTGTATTTACTGTGCAGGGAGAAAATTATGATATAATAGAAGACGGTGAATCATTTTGACCAGGGGAGCATGCCATCATGTTTCCTTCCCTGAAGTGAAGGAGGTTATTAGGTGTCGAGACAGAAATTTCAGCTTTCTCCCTAACTTTGTTGTTTATAAAATGCCAAGCTTCTTTCTCTTATTTTGCCAGACCTATAAAGTTGTCAGTAATGAACCCTATAGGAGAAAGATAAAAAGGCATAAATACTGCTTTTAAAATATTTTCTTACTTCCTTTTTTTTTTTTAATAATTATTTATGCAAATAATCAGGCAGTCTACATCAAAATGGACCCTTCACTGAATGCATGAAGTTCATGTTATTATAGCAGTTTATTGTTATACATGCATTCAGTAAACTCTTTTTTTTAGTATTCCTGTGACAAGAGGAAAAGTGACACATGCCAACACAGGTGACAAATGTCAAAACTCAAAATTTTATCCAAATTGGATTGCAGTTAATTAATCTTAGTCAACTCAGTTGCAGGAGGTGAAAAATAAAATCTCCCATTTCCTCCACATTACTTTTATGTTTCCTTCACATTTCTCAACCTTCAAACTAATTGGTACACTTCTTCAATGGCATTTGCACATATCTGTAATACAAAATTACCAATATAAAGAAATGTCATTGAAGAAGTATACCAACAATTCACTGTGTGCATCATATGATTAACAAATATACAGCAACTACTGTTATCTCAAAGTATGGAAATACTCCAATTACAATTGTAATTTATGTAAGTCACAAATACAGATGATATGCTGTCTATGTAGAGCATTTTTTCCACACAATGGCCTTCTATTAAAGCTAGCAAAGTATTCATTAAACTATCTATGGCAATAAAGATTGCCCTTATTTTATATTCTATCTTTTTGAAGAGTAAATTATACTAAGAAAAAAAGAATCATAATTAGGAAGATTAAGGAGAAAATATATTGCGACTTTCAGGCACTTCTCAATTCCCCACAAATTAGAAGTAAATAAATAAATAAATAAATAAAAGAATAGTGGAACAGAGCTGTGAGCTAGAAGAAACCTCTAATATAATTCCCCTACCACAATCATCTGTACTTAAGCCATTACTCACAATTACTGCTTGACCTATTCTTAAAAAGGTCCAAGGTTTATTTGCAAATATCTAACTTAAGCTATTCCATAGTGGAATTTCCTTAATCTTTCTTTGTCTGCTGAAGATATAACAAAGTTATTTGAGGGATGTTATACTCATACACCTTCAAACGCTGTAGATGAAGATACAACACTTAATTACAGGGAAGATTTTTTTCCTCTCCTGTATTGCTTTGGCTAAAAATAAAAAAAAACCCCACACCCAAAGGAAAAATATAAGATGTTCTGCATCACATCGCAGCCCAGGCGGTAGCCATCCATGTTTGCAAAAATCCCAGATCAACTTCCGTAAAAAGTCCCTAACAGAAACTAAAGTCCCAACAGAAAAAATGTATTTATAAGAAAAAAAAGTTCTATATTGCTTCACACTATTATAGTTCACACTATTATATTCCCACAGATTTTTGTTCTCTATTGTTCTGAGAGCAGGAAAAAAATTATTCAAAAATACGTATTTTTTTAAAAACTCACTTTTACTGAGATGCAAAATGCAACAAATCCACCTTTTACTCTAGTAAAACACTAAGTAAAACACTAGTAAAACACTAACACTAAGGCTGCTTTTGTGCCCTCCAGGAAAAAGGCAAGTGCCTGGATTCTACAAGGGCTTTCTTAGAGTGTGCAAGTCATGAAGAGCTAATGAAACAACATACAAAGCTACCTAGGGGAGGCCCTTTCCAAGTTTTGTTTGCCTTCCTACTATAAATATACAAGGCTATTTAGTAAACAATAGAAAGAGACTGTAGATGTTCATACAAAGAGACAGATGTAATGCCAAAGATAAATAAACAGTAATTACTAGCCCTTTATTTTCTTTTACTGACTAAAATAAAGAATTTTGTATGTATAAATCACAGTGTACTTTCTAACTAACACTTCCCCATTGCAGAACTTAGCGCAGACCTGGGTATCAGAACTCCCTCCTTATGCACTTTGCAAAAGAAAAAAAACTTTTTTTCAAAAAACATAACTTTGCAGATATGATTTTAGCTACAAGAATTTTGATCTTTAATATGATTAACTGCAACAAAATGAGTTGTTTTTAATGCAATTTCTAAAACTGTCTTCATTCAGATAAACAGCATTTCCCAGGCTATTCATTTTAAGATAMCAGGAGCACAGAATCACAAGATTCATACACCGATACTGCTCCTCTTGTCTATRAATACATATAGCACATCTATTTCAGCTTACACAGCCGGTTACTGTAATTATTCTTATACAGAAGTTGTTTTAGCTCAGTTCTACTTTTGCAGCTTGAAAGATATACTGTTGCAAGAGCAACTAGATCTACAAAGATTAAAAGAAAGAGCAAGAACTGCTGAACTTGATAGTAACATTTTAAAGGAAAAAGAATCTGAATATATTGGCATCATCTCTTCATAAAGTATTCAGCTTGCACCAACTGTCTTCCACCCAAGAAACAACCAGAGATGTCACCRCTGCAGCAGCCTTTGACAACACTGTTTAATGCATAAGAATTCCTTTAGATATCTCCACYAATCTTATTGTTGAGTGCAAATAATGGACGATCTGAAGAAGGTTATATATAGTCTGTGAGAATCATAGGCAGAAACATTTACTAAGCCCTTATTAAGGCCTAAAAGTGAAACTCTTAACAGAGCAATATGCAAATACTGAAAAATGGGTGTTTTTATACTAATTTAAGTACTGCATTCCAAAGTAATTAATAGATGATGCAGTTGGAGGGAAAAAAAGAAAAGTAAAAAAAAAAAAAAAATCTTCTTGACAGTGAGGGTGTCAAAGCCCTGGCACAGGCTGCCCAGGGAGGCTGTGGAGTCTCCTTCTCTGGAGATCTTCCAAACCCGCCTGGATGCCGCCCTGTGCCCCGTGCTCTGKGTGTCCCTGCTGGAGCAGGAGGCTGGACCAGATGATCTCTAGAGGTCCCTTCCAACCTCAACCACTCTATGAGAACAAATAAATAAACAAAGACAAATTCAGTACAGAGAAAATCTTCTTCTTACACTACTGCTKAAGTAAATTACACAGTAAGTAAAGAATGATTTTGGTAAGTCCCAGGGAATGCATTTTTCCATTAGCTTTGAAAGTGCAACCTTTAAATTCAATAAAAAGAGTCTTCATGCTCCACATGCATGAATGGAAAAAATTAGACCTCAAGTAGCCAAAAAAGAAAAAAAAAAATTACTTATTTCCCAGGGCTTTTAACCAAAGACTTCATGGTTTACTGCATAAAATGCTTTTCAAACTTACTCAAAATTTCTAAGTTCAAATCTTGATAGCATACATTATAACATTTTCATTTGATTTTAATTTAGTATCAAGAAGACTATTGTTTTAAAACAGATCTCTCTCACCCCAGGAACACCGAACATGTCATTAAAAAAAGAATTCAAATAGTTTTTCTTAAACAAATATATAATATTAATTTAGATTAAATGAATAAATCAAGGATAGGAGATAAAACAGAACAAACTTGGAATAAGTCATACATTTCTGCTACTAATTCCTAACGATTTTGTTGGGAAGAAATACAGGACAGCTGTAGAAAGTCTGAAAGTTTGCCTGCTGGTCAAAGTAGCATTTCCAAGTTCCCTTGGAAAGTTAAAAAAAAAAAAAAAAAAAAAAAAAAAAGGTCACAGGCCTTTCAAATTTTCAATTTATTTAAGATAGAGCAGCTCAATTAAAACTTTTGACTGACTTAAACTAGCTGATTGTTTGCTCTTCTCTCTTAGCAGGTGGAAGCTTGCTTCAAACAGAAGATTTTTTTTCCCTCTAAAATCCTCTAAAAATAGAGGATTTTTTACCTAAACCTTACCTGTTTGTTTATATAGGAACTTACAAGCCGGTAACTTCAAAGAACAAATACATTACCCCTATGATCACAGAAAAACTAAAACAGTTCTTTAATTGAGCCAAGTTTTGAATGATCCCCCTCAAAGTCAAACATGATGCTTTTTCAGAAGACTCACATCACTATTACCACAACTTATAACAACGTACAGCAACTCCCCTGCTCTCCCAATTCGTGATCCACTCTACAGGGATGAACAACAGCAGCTCTGTAAATTTAAATGCACTATGAGTAAAGGATGGCTGAGCCTTTTGACAAGGAAACACAACTTCTTGTCCTACAAAAATCTTAATCAGTATTTTTTTTGTTGTCTCTTTTTTTYYCCCCCCCCTCTTCTCTCCCCAAAGCATTTAACCATGTTTCCCCTATCSTTTCATTTGCAAACAGAACTTAACTATGTTGCTTTGGAACAAGTATATGGTATTATGAACTACCAATATGCCACTCTATTAGTACAGTATTGTCCTTAGGTCATGTAATCTACTAGTAAGGCTGATAAATTTGGGTAAGCTAATCAGTTCACATGGGTATATTGGTTTTAAACTTGACTCATCTGATTACCAAATGAAAAATCTGTATAATTGAAAACTACGTATCCTGTATTTCTGACCTTTTTCTATTCCAGTCAGAAGGAAACTGTATATAATTCAAGAGAAAACAGAACATAAAGACCTGACAGCACTATGTCAGTGATATTTTTAACAAAATACATACCTGCATGTATGATCATCACTCACACTTGCAACTTCCTGACCTTCTTTGGGAGCAAACACCAGATCATTTATGTAATCTGAGTGGCCATCAAATTCCTGTCAACCACGGAAAAAAAAAAAAAAAAAAAAACCCACAGAAATACAACAATTTTTACATCAAGATAAAAGTAAACAGAGCTGACTGTTCCAACAGTCTGCCATGTATTTAATAGACTCACTAAAGGAAAAATACAGTATAAGTAACTATCATTTTACAAGTAGGAGTGGAAGTTATTTATCAGTAACTGAACAATCCTAGCTCATCTGTACATTCACACTGTAGGCAACCTGCTATTCCTTGAAGTTCCTACAGATCTCAGACTAATGTTCTTGCTTGACAGAGATAACTGGCACCAGGGCTGCTCTGTCTTCCATTGAACACTGAATTTTGATAGGGGTTGATGAATCACAGAAGGATAGAGGCAGCAACTGAATGTACACATGGTCAACACAGCTTAAAGAACTCTGATTACCAATTAGTAACTCTTATCTCTGAATGACAGCCTTGATTTACGTTCCTACYGGGAATTACTGCAAGCCACAGGAGGGTTTTTTTTTCCCTGGGAGAGAAATAAGCCAGGGAATTGATAGATAAACAACAACCAACCCATTCAACACACTCCTCTTCAACAATCAAGCACCATTTCTATACAGGATTGGACAGGAACATATTGCTTTGTGCACCCTGCATTAAATGCTCTTGTGCTGAAGATGAAGGAAAATGAAGTACAAYGAACACTTTTCTTATTGCAAAATTTTGATTTTTTCATTCTCAAATATTAGGATATAAGCACTCAGTTTGAATATACATGTAAATTGCCAGTTAAAAGCAAATCTTTACAGTAAACATGAAGTTATTTCAAAGTGAACATCATTGTTCTGAATTGAAATACATTAATCGTTTATTTTTAAATGCTGAAATTTATTCATAATGAAAAACAACTTAAATGCATCACTTCCCTAAAGCCACAAATGCCAAAAAAGCCACAAATCCCACAGTTTCTAGGGGAAAAATATATATATATTTTTAATAAGGCTTTTCCGGCTATCTTGCCCAAAATATTGAGGTATGTGTTTTAGCATGAATTCCATGTCAATGCTTTATGTTTTTCTTCATTTAGAGGCTTAAAAAGCTTTTAAAAAGTTTCAAATATTATTCATGTGAAGTGAATGAAATTAAAGCATCACTGATCACAATAGAAAATGTCTATCTAGTTAAGATATCAGTTGTTGCATCTGATGAACTGTACATGTTTTCTCTTACTAAGAAGATGTATGGACTTTGCGATAGAAGACCAAATATGCATGYAGCTGTTACATCTGCTACTGTTCTATCCCCTTCAGTGTATTAGATTAAGTCTTCAGGTTCTCAAAGAACAGCTGCTCTTTTCTTGGCATCAATGTATCAAAAAAAGAAACAAAAAACATCTYGATAAAAGCATGACCTGGAGTGGGTTGAAGAGAAAAACAAGGTGGAATGAAAACAACCGTTTCCACAGCTTCCTGAAACGAAAACAAGCTACCTGCTTTCTAAGATTAGATTCCTACAAGAGCTACACAACTGACTAAAACTAACTTGTAAAGCATGCACAATATTTAAGCCCCTTCTCTAAAAATTTTATGACAACCTATTCAATTGAATAGAAAAACATGTTCAGTGGCCAGCCTATTTTTTCCAGTAGCTACCACGTTAATAAAACAGTGTATTATACTAAAAATGAATCCATTTTTAAACAATACTAAACTATTGGAATTGCAAGCCTTCTGAACGTTTTCAGCATTCTGAAATTCTTGCCTCATTTATTTCCATGGTTCTGAGCAAGTATGTCTTCTATTAATCAAAATTTGAAGCAGGAAAAGAGAGAAAGAAGTTGCAATATATTTCCAAATTAAAACCTCAAAAAAAAGAAAAACATTTCATGACAATCTATCAGTCATTTTACCTTGCTTAATCCAACCTATGATTAGTCRCATTGAAAAAGTAATAGACAACTCACTATCCTTTCAAATTTTATGTGAAACCACGTGAATTTGTTGATCATTTGATTTGATTGATCATTTGAGAGGTCCTGGAGAGCAGGGGAGGTGCCCGAGGACTGGAAGCGAGCCAGCGTCACTCCAGTCTTCAAAAAGGGCAAGAGGGAGGAGCCAGGCAATTACAGGCCGGTCAGCCTCACCTCCATCCCTGGAAAGGTGATGGAGCGGTTCATCCTAGAGAGAATCTCCAGGCATATGGAGGAGAAGAAGCTGCTGAGGAGCAGTCAGCATGGATTCACCAAGGGGAAGTCATGTCTGACGAACCTCATAGCCTTCTATGATGGGAAGACAGGCTGGCTGGACGAGGGGAGAGCCGTGGATGTTGTCTACCTTGACTTCAGCAAGGCTTTTGACACTGTCTCCCATAATATCCTCATGTGGAAGCTCCGGGCCAGTGGACTAGACGAGTGCACGGTGCAGTGGATCAAGGGCTGGATGGATGGCAGAGCTCAGAGGGTGGTGATAAATGAGGCCGAGTCCACTTGGAGGCCTGTGGCCAGTGGTGTCCCCCAGGGGTCAGTGCTGGGCCCAGTGCTGTTCGACTTGTTTATCAATGACCTGGACGAGGGCACGGAATGCACCCCGAGCAAGTTTGCAGATGACACCAAGCTGGGTGGAGTGGCCGACACTCCGGAGGGCTGTGCTGCCATCCAGAGGGACC